ACCATATTCCTAACCTTTCTGGTGTGTTCTTTGGACTTCATGATGCTGTTTGCTCCCCAATATTCTCTTAACCTACATCTACCTACTTTTCAGTTTTTTATTTGTAAAAAATGTTTTGATTCATGTAAAATTTTGCTTCCACTTCACAATTGTATACCACTTTGTGTTGGTCTTTCACATTAAATTCCGGTGAAATATATTTATGTTTGTGGTTGTAATGTGACAAAATATGGAAAAGTTCAAGGGGTATGAATACTTTTGCAAACCACTGTACAAGAGGTGAAACGTTTGACTGCAACAATCAAGAGATAAACTTTTTATTGGTTTCAGGAGTAAAGATCAGACTGGGTGTTGCTGCTTCTCCTTTTTCTGTTTTATTTGCTGACATTCATCCCTAGAAGTGAGAGAGCCTTCCTGCCAACTGATGGGAAGAAAACTAAAAACTGATATTTTACTGATCGTGTTCGACCACGAGCTTTTCTTCCATCACGACTCGGAGGATGTGTTTCTGCAGGACGTCTTAGAGCAGATTTCTGACTCTTCCACAAACCTGACAGATATTTTCTGTTTGCAGAGGTTTTCTGTCATTTTCTTCACACATCTTTCGCATTCAGTCCACTTTTAAATGCCACGAAGGTGCAGAGCTCCAAGTTCTCAAGGGTTTTGGAGACGTAGCAGCAGTGCGTTGTCTTCTGTCGTCGACAAAAACATTTTGTGTGTTTTTTACGCTCAAACTCCAGCTGTAAAGTACCAGTGGTGTGCAGAATGGATTGTACTAAAAACAGAGGAAGTGTAAGGTCAAAGTTCACGGGTCTACAAACTGCCTGAAAGCACAGAAACGTCAGGAAGTGCCTGAAAGCACAGAAAACTCTTCATCACATGGATACTTTCAAACAGATGAAGCTCAGATATGTTCGGTAGTTCGGTTTCAACCATTAAACTTTTTTAGTTCTGTTATTTCTGCAGTTGTAATTGTGAGTGCAGTTGTCTGAAAACTGATTTGTCTGTGAACTTGGGTAATTTTTTCAAAGTTTTATTGGTTTTTTATCGCTTTTATTGCTTCTACACGTTATTTTTAAGTGTTTTTCTTTTAATGTACAGTTTTTTGTTCTGACATTTACAGTTTCAGTATTTCAGACACAACTGGCCGTGTGAGAAGAACTGTATTTGGTTTTGTTGAGTCCATGATGTAAAAAGAGTAGAAATGTTTGGAGGATTACTGTAACACTTTGGTAACGTTTTGAAAGGTTTGGATGTATGTACAGACGTAATATTCAGAATCTGACATTTTATCTGTTTGCAGAAGCTCAATAAAGAGACTTCACTCAGTAAATCTGATTATTGTTCTGCTGATTGATGCCATAATATAAACTTCTGTCCTGTGATGGGAGGAGGACCCATTTGAGATGGAAATTACATTTTTTTGTATCACTGTATCTTTTGAAGAACCCAGGCGGAAAAATACTAAAGTATATTTTAAATAGACTGCATTTTACAGAAATATATATTTTAATATATTACTGTATCAATAAAATATACTTTTTAGGATTATATTCAAAATGGAAAAAAGTATATTTCAAAAACCATACTTCAGATATGTTG